AGCGGGAGCGGCGCCGCTCCCGCTCCTTGTCCCGCTCTCGGCTCCGTTCTCGCCGGTCACGCTCACGCTCCCGGTCACGGTCCCTGCGGGGTTGGGATGAAGGGGGAAGAGGCCAAGTGAAGGTGAGGGACAGTTGTGGGGGTGAGCTGCCCTGTGCCCATGCTGCTTCCACACTGCAGGCCCATTGCCACAGGGGGCAGCTAACATGGCGACTGGCTCCTCATTCCCACAGAGCACCTGTACCCCCTCCAAGGGCCACTATGGGCTACCACAGACATGGCAGCTTGGGGCCATTCCCACAATGCACTTGGCCTCACCTTGACTCCAAGGGTGCTCGCCACTACCACAGACATGACTCCTGGCTCATACCCATAATGCACCTGGGCCCTAACAAAGGCTACTATGTGCCTATACAGACATGACTGCTAGGGGCCTATTCCCACAATTCACCTGGCCTTATTCTGATGGCAAGGCCTGCTCCTTACTACCAGACATGGCTGTGGAGATTCCATTCCCACAATGCACTTGGCCCCACCCCGATTCTGCCCTACCACAGACATGATTCCTGGCCCCTCATACCCATAATGCACTTGGGCCCGATAAAGTCCACTCCACTTCCATAGACATGGCTGCTGGGGGCCCATTCCCAGAGCATACCTGGCCTTAACCTGACTCCAACAAGGCCTGTTCCCTACCACCAGAGACATGATTATTGAGGCCCATTCCCACAATGCACCTGGGCCCCACCAAGGGCCACTATGGGCTACCACAGACATTACTCCTGGGGGCCCATTCCCACAAGGCACCTGGCTTTGGCCTGACTCCAAGGCCTGCTCTCCACTACCACACAAATCCTGGCTCCCCATTCCCACAATGCATCTGGGCTCATTGCCAAGTACCACAGACCTGGCAGCTACTGTCCATTCCTACAATGCACCTAGGTCTCTACCTGGCCCATTCCCTGCTCCCAGTGCTATGGGCCTACACACCTGGCTGCTGCTGCCATAGCCCTATGTCCACCTCATTCCACGGAGAGGCACCCCACCGAAAACGGCGGGCACTGGTGATTCTCCTGTGGTTCCCCCCAAGCTCAGGGCTGGGAGTTCCACAGCCCACCCCCAACCCTTGCAAGCCCACCACTCACCGCTCATCGTATCTGGAGGTGTCATCTCGGCCAGAGTGCCGGATGTTGACGTCAGCACCACCTCGCCGGGTGCCCCCAAGGCCACCGCCTGCAGGGAGAACATGGCCCTTCATAGCAATGCCAGGCAGGGGGTGGTAGCACAGGGAGGCCCTTCCAGAAGGGTCCCACCTTTCCCATTTGGCACCAAGGCAGAGGAAATGGCCTCATTCATTGCACCCTCCCACCAGGGACATCACGGGGGAGCTCGATCTCCCAGCCCCTTGGGAGAGTGCCTGGCTGCTCCAGCCAGCTGTGGGGGGACAATATCTTGACTATTCCAGCCCAAGTAGACCATGTGGTATAGGGCACAGGCTGGCTGTGAGGGGTGATCTCCCAGCCCCTCAGGGGAGCTCTTAGTTGCTTCACCTCAGCAGGGAGTGCTGTAGGGTGTCACAGTGTAGCAGCTGGGTGTAGAGGGAGATCTTCCAACTCCACCAGCCTCAGCACAGGGTACTATGGGGCAGGAGCTGGAGGATGAGGAGGCAATTTCTCAGCTCCTCCACAGGGTGCTGGGGGATGGGCAGAGGGGGGCAGGTTGTGAGCCTCACGGAAGGGGGAGCTCCCATCTCTCGAGTCCCTGGCAGAATCTGTGGTGGGGAGGGGGTCTCTACTCACCAAGCCTGCGCGGGCGCCAGCCCTTGACTGTCCTGCCACGCTCCACATCCACCAGCACACGCCTGCCATCAATTTTCTTGCCGTCTGCATGCTTGTAAGCCGCTGTAACAGATTGGGGAGTGTCCAGAAGGGCGGAGGTTGTGGGGTTGGGAAGAAGGGGTGACAGTTAGCCCAAGCTCACAGACACAAGCCCGCCCTCCCCTTCCCAGCCAGGCACACGCACACGCACACGCACGCACACGGAAGAACCTCTGCCCACCCCCGGGGGGCTCTCGGAGCCCAGTTGCCAGCCGGCTGCTCAGCTGTGCCAGCCTGCCAGGGAACGGTGCGTCCTGGTACCACCCCCGCAACATTTTGCAGCGAGGAAGGATGCTGCCTCAGCTTCAGCAGCCAGGACTGTGCTGGAGATGCAGGGCAGCCCAGACCCATCCAGGCTGGAGGGCCAGGAGGGGGCAGGAGGCCATGGCCCATTACCCACCAGCCACCTGGTGACCAGCTATCCTCCCCACAACCCCTCCACAGCTGCAAGAAAAGGAAGGTTATGGACAACAGTCAGATACCTGTACTTGGCTCCCCGCTATGCTCCCCTCCCTGCTGGCTGGGTGGGTTGCACACAGGATCCAACCCCTGGCTGCAGGGGAGGGCAGATACACCCTAACAAAATGTGGGGGACAGCACCCCCAACTGCAGCCCACCTGTCCCAGCCAGCCAGCTCCTCCAAATGCACCATGCAGCCCCCTCCCACAAAGCAAGGCCTACAGGAACAAGGGGGTGGGATGGGGAGGGGACTCTATGTACTAGGATTTAAGGGCAGGGGGGCCACGCACACACGAAGCTTTTATCCTCTGGCACCTGGCTGGCAACCCCTGGCCCCCCACCTTCCCCACCCCCCCTGCAGCCCTGCCAGCTTAGCAGGGGTGACCCCACACTGGGTCAAACCCTTCCAGCCTGTCACCACCACACTACATGGGCACAGCTCATGAGAGAAG